AAAATGGAAAGTTGCTTTAAAAACTTTGGATAATTCTTCTAAAATTACTCCAGAGTTTATTAATGAGGTAATTTTTAGATGAGTAATTATTTAACTTCGTATGGCTTTATATGTTACGGTAGTACGTAGTAATAAGCACCAAAGTATTACACAATTTTTTTTCTACGTATCAACCATCATTTCTATACTTTAATAAACTATATACGGTGAATAATAGTACCATAACACATAATGATGGTCAAAAGCTTAATACTACTCCAGTTAATAATTTGCAGATGCATATCAAAAGAAAAGCATCATCTTCAGTTCAAAATGATAACTTAAATTCAAAAATAGATTCAAATGTCAACGTGTTGCCTCTTTCGTCAATAAAGAGGGTTAAAAAATAAGACATGTTTATTGAAGCATTTTGTTATCTAAATATACTTATAAAAATGAATATACTATTCTGATTAATAAGTTAATAAAACTATTAATAATAATTTGCAAACTGTTATGACAAAAAGCTTATACCCATAGAACTCATTATATCAAACTTATCAAGTAGCATGTGTTAACAACGTTTATTATTTAATATTATTTGTGTCTAAATTTACTAAGACTTCTTTGACGCTTTTACATTCTTTTTTAACCTCCTTTTGTATTTCCTCCTCAATAAGACGTGCTTTGGAAATTTTCAAGTCTGGATCGACCTGTACGATCATATCAATCAAATAAAATGGACCAGACTTACGACCTCTTATGCTTCGAAAGTTGATAACACCCGGTTCAATGCCCTAAAAATAAAGTTATTCAATCAAAATTAAATATAATAACACTGTTATAATTCATAATCACATGTCGAATAAAATGAAACCTGAATCTTATAAACAGCCTTTTCAACTTTCTTTATGTCATCTTCTTTCAATCCCATATCAACCAATTCTCTTAACGATGATATCATAATTTCAATTCCACTCTTCAGAATCATTCCTGCTACTAATATTCCGCCTATAGGATCAAGAAGTGGAAAACCGAAAGAACTTCCTCCAATCGAGATCACTGCTACTAGACTGGATGCAGCATCACTTCGATGATGCCTGTTATTTATATATGAGACAATATAAAGTAACATTTTACTTTTGTATCATATAAGAACATTTTTACATACCATGCATTGGCAGCTAAAATATCGGATTGTTCTTCTGATGCAATTTTCATCGCTTTTAAGATAATAATTTATATTAATAATTATTATCAAAAATTATGTAAATAATTATTCAAAGAATGTAAAGTACTTGATCTATATAAAGCTTCTTTTACGACAACAGATCCAGCGGCAAACCATGTGGCATTTGGATTTAAATGCGGACGATCAATTTGCGTAGTAAGACTAATTTCAGTGATATTAAAAGGAGAGTTGGGTGGTATTGCACTCATAAGCAACTCATAAGAATGATAGCCGATTCCAAAGGCACCTACAGCCAATAATGAAGAGACAGCGAGAGATCCGACAGCTTCATATTTACCTTAAAATCATATGATGAATTAATAAAGGAAAGATATTTAATTTGGAAAAATAAAGTAGGATTGATTACCATAACCATAGGGATGCGTTTCATCAGGAGGCTTTCTTGATTGTCGGATTGTATATAATGTCACAAAGTCGCTAATAAGATCTAGATTGAATTAAAGTTCATCAAGGTCAAAATATTATAATTATAATTGAAAGATAATCATTTGATTAAGTACTTGCCGCTTAGAGAATGTGCGGCATCAGCAACTAATGACGCGGAATTCATCATCCTTTATTTAAAACAAGATGTTTTATGTTTATCAAATTATAATGAGGCAAGGATTAACGTATATAGTAAAATATTTACCAACCAGCTATACCCTTCACAACAGTCAGACCGACATTAGCACCTAATCCTACTAATGTTATCTTTGTTCCTCGATTTGCTTTTCCAAAAAAAACTCAAAGATTAATAAATGAGTATAATAAACACAATATAAATATTTTTAATAAAGTTGTTAGCCTTACTTGGTCCGGAAAGAGCTAGTGCTAAGTTGTAATGGGAATGATCGTGAGAATGTGAGTCATGACTGTGGACTTGCCTCCTATAAAATGGTGCTCTTTGTTGCAAAAATATACGTGTCCTTGATAAGTTGCGATTATCAGAAAGAAAACATGATGTGAAAACGAGCCGAGTAAGAATGACAGACGTGTTGTTTGTATAAATCGAAGCGGCGGCACGAGAAAACATGTTTCGTTGAGTCGATTAAATTTACGATTTTGATTGGCCGATAAGCATTGATAACAAGTTTTAATTTGATTGGATAATCTAGTGAAATGTTATACACTTGGTGTCATCAGTGTTATAAAATTTTTATTGCCGAAAAAAAAAGAAATTTATACGCGCTTTATATATACGGAGAGCGCTGTGTCATAGTGTCATATATGCCAAAACTTCGGAGATAAGGGAGATAAGGCAACTCGCCAGAGGCGTGACGTTGGTGGGTTAGTGATGGGTTGCTGGTGCAGGGTACTTGGCGACGCCAATACTGGCACGCCAAACACAGATGGTGCTTGAAAAAGGAACGAAATTGACAACTTTTTCAAAAGAATTTTTTTACATAAATCAATTTAGAATAAGATTAGAATCATTTTTCACTTAAAAGTAGTTGTATTAATAAAATTTTGCAGTATAGCTCTTTAAAATTTGCATTTTCTTATATAAAAATTGTTTTTCGAAGATTTTTTTTTGTCAATTTCGTCAGCACCTAGCCCATATTTAGTTTACTTCATATTAGACTGTCCCGGAAATTTCCTAATGTTTAGCGTTAGGGCAATGTAAATCTCCCTGCTATGTAGCGATAGTGGTACTCATAGGAAGGCTTTCGTATGATTGGCTGATAATTTCAATTTAATTTTACATTATTTATACAGTTTAAAGTATTTTCTCAAAGTTGTATTAGAGTTATAGGCCTCACTACCAAAAATAATTATTTTTGGTACGTAGTGAGGTCCCATTAATGCAACTTTCAATATACGTACTTTTTTCTTTATTGTCGTTAGTTTATTTTTTTGAGAAATACTTTAAACTGTATAAGTAGTGTAAAATTAAATTGAAATTATCAGCCTTCAACAGCCCTAGCATTGCTGGCGTCATAACTATACATGCCGGACAAACGTTTGGGATTTGGGATTTTTCCATGGACAAACCTGGAAAAATGGGATTGTCCAATCATA